TATATAACTAAATGGGGCAATTGATTAGAATGTCTTTCATCCCTTGAGACAGGGTCACTAATCCTCATTACAGATTGTAGAGCTCAACATGGGAAAATCAGGCATACCTGAGCTCCAAGTTCCATGACTTTGCGACTATGCCAAGGAGTTTTGCTCAGAGGCTCAGCTCTACCATGAGTAAGACAAGGTTTTCTGTTCTTCTCTCACTGTTTGCCTATGTATGAGTGTGTGGTGTGTGCCAGTGTATGCATAGACGCATGTGTGAAGAGACATCTATACAGGTGCAAATGCACATGTACATGGTTTATGTTAGACTGTGAATAGGCTCCATGAATAGGTATCTTGCTCAATGTCTGGCCACTTTATTGAGCCAGGATCTCTCACTGAATCTAAGCTCACCAATTCTGGCTAGTCTAGCCTGTCTGGCTTTTATGTGTGCCCTGGGGATCTGAACATCAGTCCTCCTAACTTCAAAGCAAGTGCTTTTCCAAAGCAAGGGCTCTCCAGCACCACCAGCTCTCTCAGCCTCACATGACAGCATCTCACCTGGGCAGGGCCCAGGCATAATTAAAATCTCCCAATATGGCGGGCTTTTGTTTTAATGTGAAAAGATCATTTGTTAAGATGTTATCGTCAGATTTATCGCTTTTCTATTTCTGCAAAGATAACCAAATTCCTTATATTTTCTCTTGTTGGCTTAGACCCATATTCTTGGGGTAATGTTCTCCCAAACAATTTTTCTTCTTGGCTTTTATGAAGCCATAACATCTCGGTAGGTCAAAACTAGAAATGAGTGGTGACCAGGCAGGGCCTGAGTGAAGGCAGGCCACCACAGCTTCATAGGAGGTGGCTCTACACCAGCTGATTCCTGGCACATATCTGTTTACCAAGATCTTCCAGTTTTCACGAGAAGCCAGAATTATAGACTCTGCTGTGAAATCATCCAATTTCTAAATACTGGGAATGAGTTTCAGCGTAAAACAACAACAACAACAAAATGTTCTGCCTACAGACTAGTTACCTCTAGCCCAAATTTGCCTAAGTGCATATTATAACTCGTGTCTCCAGAAGGCAAAGAAAAGTGTAATCAGGAAAAGGGTGCCTACAACTGGGAAGGAAAGGCTGAGCGGATGTGCTGGAGATTAACATTGGACTTCCTGGATGGATCTCTTGAGGGCAGGAAAGAAAAGGGGAGGAAGACAAAGATTTGCTATCTTGGCCTCAGTTTACTATCTGCCTCTGTGGGACAGAATCAACAAATTCTCTAGATTTCCAAGAACAAAGTGGGTTCAGATGTTTCCCATCTCAACAGTGACCAGCAAGGTAAAACCTGGCAAGACTTCCCAGCACCTGCTCTCAATGAGAACACAGCACATCAGTGGTTTATTCCGTTTCCAGGGTGGAAAGCCAGTGATGACTTTTGCTTTGAGTGGAGCTTGGGTTGAACCTAAGGGCATAAATAAAAGCAACATTTTTGTATGTTGTCCTTGTGGTGTCACCTTTAAGAGGTATGTTAGGTATGAATAGGCTCTGAAAAATCCTGTCATGTTTGTCACAGTGGTTCTTTCAAGGGTGGGTGTAGAGTAGAGGCTGAGAGAAGGTTTCTTACTCTGCAGAGGAATGTAGATCTAGGGAAACTTCCGGAACTGTGGCAAGGGGATAGAAAATGCAGCTTCAGGGGTTAGGGACACAACTCAGTTGGTAGAATGCTTGTTGTAGTGGTTTGAAAGAAAACACTCCTCCCTGCCAAAAGGAATGGCACTATTGAGAGGTGTGGCTTTGTTAGAGTAGGTGTGGCCTTGTTGGAGGAAGTGTGTTGCTGTGGAGGCAGGCTTTGAGGTCTCCTATGCTCAAGCCATGCCCAGTGAGACAGACCACTTCCTCCTGTTGCTTGCAAGCTGTAGGGCTCTCAGTTACTTCTTCAGCACTGTGTCTGCCTGCATGCCAACATGTCCCACTGTGATGATAA